CCGAGACCAATAAACACAGACCAAGACTCCCAACCAATCAGGATGAAATAAAAACCATTCTGGCACAGCAATAGGCTGCCCCAAATTTAAATCTGAAACCACTGTAAAAGTCTGACTCACAGACGGACACAATACAGAAGCCTGATGATGGCAGATGAGATTCTGCTGAAACGTTGCTACAACTTTAAAAGCACCACTACTGAATTACCTGTATAAATGTGAACAAAGAATGGTAGGTATTTTCTAAACAGGTAAATGTAGGAGATTAGATTAATTTCTTACCAATCACACAGACAGTGGAGAGTTTGGATCTGCCTTCTAAAAAGTCCAGGGATTGCAAAGTATTCAACACTACAATAAGGTCTCCTTCAAGTCAGTTTTGATTCCTGATGATTTTACATTTGTGGGCATACAATTGTCTTGGCAACAATACAGAAATGGTTGCCACTCACTTTTGGAATGGTCTGCCAACTTCCCAGATTCAGTCTAGAGCCCTGGTTCCTTCAGAGATCTCATCAGTCCAAATCTATCTTAACTTCCAGGTCCACACAAAGTCTGCCACCTATTAGTACTACTTTAAACATTTTGGAAATGGGCACATAACTCACTAAGATCAACTACAGTTGTAAAAACAGAATTGGTAGGTATTAAACAGACCCATGGCAGAAGCTGCAAAAAAGTGTCGCTAAGATCAAGGTGAGCAATAAGGGAAAGGTACTATTTTTATTATTACACTACTATTACATTTATTTCCATGCAAATAATCCACTGTAAATCAAGCAGCCAGATTATTCCTTCTCGCTAATTCCAAGATGATTTCTCTTAAATGTGTACCAGCTCTAATCAGGATCCTAATAAACCATCATTCATGGTTTGAATTCAATTTGCAAATTCTGATTAAGGAACAAATGTGGCATTTCTTCCATTGAAATAAACATGAACTTATTGAATTGTTGACATCCTGTCATTATCTGATTTCTCATAGAAGAATTTAAGCATGAAACAGTTTTCCCCATCTCTTATTAAGCAAGTGCAAAATTCAAAGAATTACTCCAATCCCTGAATAGACAAAAGACAAGCAAATGAACAGGCACATGGACCAAAACAAGAGTTAACATAGACCATAGACATGATCCTAATAAATGGAAAGCAAAAAGACTGTGGGATTAAGACATTAAACTAAAAAGCAGTACACACCTTGAATGCAATTTTGACTCTTTTAATCTTTTTAACCTTTTCAACTGTCTTTGTGCCGAAAACGTAAAAAGCAGATTGAAAAAATGTTAGTGTGACCACTGACAAGTTCACCAGTAGATAAATAATTTCAAGAATGGGGAGTGAGGGTAAGTAAGAAAGAGTATAGGGACACAATTCTACTTAGAAATCTTTAATCTGTTAGATATTGTAGAATAAAATAAAATGCATGTTAAATAGTTATCTATGTTAAATCATCAGACATTTACCAAAAAACATAACTAACTAGGAATTCATGAAGAAAGTTCTGTCTCATATAAACTTACAGGATTTAGTGTATTACACTGGTCTATGGGATTCTTGTAGTCAGTCTTCAGCTCATCAAAAGCTATAATCTAAAATAAAATTAAAATGATTAGGTAACAGTAAAAGAATTATTTGCCATTCTACAGTCCAGCATTTAGAACAGCCCAACTTCCACATTCAAATTCCGAGGGAATCTCCTAAGGAACTGACTCATCCAGTTAGCTTCAAGCAATAATAACTAAGCTCTGTAAAGAACACTTTTAATTATTTACTCAAATCCCCTACACCAGGGGTCGGCATGCTTAAACATTCACAGAGCCACAAAGGTCCTAACCAGATGCCCCCCGTTCAATTCTGAAGCCTACCAGACTCAATAGTGGTTCCCCCACCATAGACTCTCCTCCTAGCACGGTGTCCTTTTTCTTCTACCTGTCCTAACCAAAAGCCCTATCAATTGTGGAGCCGACCGGCAACAGGGAGCCGCAGCACAGGGATGAGAGAGCAAAATGCGGCTCCAGAGCCACAGGTTGCTGACTCCTGCCCTACACAGTAGCAGCATCCAAGCCTCCCACTGAGCCTTGAATATTCAAATTGGAGTTGGATTCTGACTGAGCAATTCACAGTGAGTCAACTGAGGGTTTATCTGGACCTATTATCTGGGAGGTGTTTCACCTTGTCACTCCTGAAGAAGTGGACAGATTCTTGAGTTCTAGTAACCCAACAACCTGGTTATCAAATCCGTGCACCTCCAGAATGATTAAAAATTTTGGGAGATGGTGTGTGGTGCTATATTCCCTGGAAAAGGTGGCAAAAAACCATCTGTTGTCAAAATCATTGTTGGACATAACAATTCTGGATACCTTTATCTAACCTCCAACCTTCTCTTTCTCGGGAAGGTTGCTGAGAAAGTGGTCAGGTTGCAGTTTCAGAGACCCACAGGATTATCTGGATTCTTTCTAGTGTGGTTTCAGGCTGAGACAGCACTGACTGTACTTGTTGAGATAGGGTGGAGATTGTGTGAACTTGAAACTTTTTAATCTCTCAATGGCTTTTAATATAATCAATCATCATATCCATCTGAGATGGCTATGGATAGTAGGAAACACATTGTTATAGTGGTTCTCCTTTCTCTCTGGAGGGTTCCACTTGATGCTGGTGGGCGACTCTTTGACCCCTTATCTGTGGGGATTTCAGAACTCAAACTTCCCCCTTTTCCTACATGAAACTCCTGGGTGTGATCATCTGCCAATATAGAATTCAATACCATCAATACACTGAAGATACTCAGTTGTACATATTGATCCCAGGCCAACCAAGCAATTTCATCAAAATGATGACCTGGTACCTGGATACTGTGAAGATCTGGATGAGGAGGAACAGGTTTAAGGTCAACCATAGCAAAATGGAATGGCAGAGGGTTTTTAGCTCTTACGGGATCAGGGATTTTCCATCTTTACTTCTGGATAGAGTTGCATCTCTCCAGACAGAACTGGTGCACAATTTGAGAATCCTTCTAGGGCCTTCACCCATCTGCCCACTGCACCAATTTCACTCTTACCTTGACCACAATTTCTTTTTCACAATCACTTCTACCTTAAATCATCTCACATTTGACTACTGCCATATACTCTACGTGGGACTGCCCTTGAAGATCACTCAGAAGCTGCAACTGGTTCAGAATGCAACTGTGCAGACAGGCATGGACCCAACATGTCACACCCATGTGGCACCTCTCCTACATGAGCTGTGCTTGTTACTGATAGACTTCTATGTGCAATTCAAACTGTTGCCCACCTTGTATGCTTCTGCAGAGAGGATAGGCTTCAGGTCACATCAGTGAAAAAAAAGTCATTTATTGGGTCCCAGGAAATGTCCCTACCCTGGTGTCAGACCTATCCTCTGGAATATCTATCCAGAGATTAGGTTGCCCCAACTAGGGGCTTTAAAGATTGTCTCTTTCCCCAGTGATAAGGAAATAAGGAATGCTTCTCTTTGACCGTATTATCAAAACTTGTTCTTTTTTGGTTTTAGGGATATATTTTTTTTTACTTTTATCAGGTGGTGCCATCTTACTGGGAATTTTTATTGGTTATTTTTATTGTATGCCATTCAGACTAGAAAATAAAGTTGGTTTTACTTATTTATGTAATTTTAGGGGAAAGGGGGAAAAGGAATATACTGTAGTTACAATCAGATCATCCAATTAAAATGTCCATGCTATCTATTTTATAGCATGGGTCAATGCTGAGGCCAATTTGTCCTCATGGTCTTCCAGACTGTCCATTGCAGTCTTCTCCAATGCACATCTCTTGGTGTCAGACAGGATTCTCCAAGGTAAAGATGTTTATCGTAGCAGTTAGCACATACATAAAGGGGATTCCCCCTGGCCTCTACCCTTCTCCAGAGAAAAAAGTGTTTGCTATTTAAAAATCTAATAGAGAAGCAACATATGAGGCTATGAAGAGGAGCTAAGAAAGACCGCTCCAGGGTCTCTGATTAAAGACTGCGATGTACTAAAAATCGAATAATCCAAGTAAATAACCAGGAAAAGTTTGCTACATCGATCAGTTAATCTCTAAAAGTTAGGTTGTATCTGATTAGTCTTATCTTGGAATTGTTTTAAACTTTAGTCTCTGATCGTGCATAGTTTCCCTGTATAAGCTCAGTGATTGTCTCTCTTAGGTAACAGACCAATACATCTCATAAGTCGGCTTGTATATTTTTTCCTATTGGAGACACTCTTGGGACGCTCTCTATGATTTGCACAAATCTCTATTTTTGTCTCTGCTGATTGTTTTGTGCATTTTATTTTTAAAAAAATCAAAAAAGGCATGTTTATTGTTTATTTTTTAAATCATGTTAACTTTATTTAGGCCACCTTGAATCACCTTTGGCAAAATAGATGGCATGCTGTATAAACTGGATAAATAAAAGAAATAAATAATACATTTTGTTTATACCTTGTGAGATTTCATTCTGTTTTCACTACTGAGGGCTAATTTTCCTAACCTTGTGTCCCCAGTTGCAGGCTCGCAAGATGACACTGTAGAATTTTGTTTCCCTTTTACTTGCCAATAAGACACACCAGTTATCAGATCCCTCTCTCATACATTTAAGGTTGTGGGGAGATCAGTAGATAAAGACATCCCCTGACAAATATGTAGTTGCAGCAGTAATTACATAGTAGCTTTATGCAGGCAAGAAGTCTAAGAGAGCTTGTAGGAGAGAAAGTTTGAGATTTCTGACCTTTTGCCTTAATACAATATCTGTGCGAAAGCACAGATACATTTTATTGAGAGACTATTAAGATAGCATGCTACAATTCTGGACAGCGTAATGTACACGCCCACTCCCCTCATAAATAAGTCTGCCCCATCTTATCTCACCTCTTCCAAGTTTCCCCTTTCCTACAATTCTAGTTCTTTTTATTTCACAACAAGCTTTAAAACCCCATGATGTCTCTTAACTCCCACAAGTTATTGCTCTTTCCTATTTTCCTCTTTATTCTACACATCGGTCCAATTCCAGTTCTTCAAACACATTCATAAGAAAAAGGATGCACCAAAGTAAAACCCCACCTGAGTTGAGTATCTTGCTTCCTATAAACACCACCGTGAATTAACAGTTTTCCTGCTGTGATCCCTGGCAATTGGCATCGTCAGAATATAATGGCCTGGTTATTGATGGCAATATACAGAAAACATGCAGGAGCCACCAGGAGTGGGCAGAATGGCAATGATCTGCTTCAGTGGGATAGTTCAACCCTGTCATAACAAGGTACCATCATTCCACTTTGACAAAGCATTGAGATGGGATTGAGCCACCTCAACTGATCATTTCATTTTACAAAAGAGGTTGGCATGCACACATGGGGATCCCTTTGGCTGATGAAACAGAACTGAGGTACCAGTAGCTTCCCTATTTGATACTGTGGTTTGTAGGGATGATTGTGGCTCCTCACAGCAAAGCATCTTTTAAAAGTTTGTGCACAGCCCTCACGTGCTTCATAGTTTAATCCTTCTGAATACCTCTTGAAGACATCCAAACAGGACTGATCACTATACAGGTAGTCCTGGACTTACAACCATTCATTTAGTGACCCCATTTGAAGTTACAGCAGCACTGAAAAAAGTGACCTATGACCATTTTTCACAGTTACCTTTGCAGCATCCCCATGAATCAAAATTCAGATGTTTGCCAACTGGTTCATACTTATGACCGTTGCAGCTGTCAGGATTCCGGCAGTTACTCCAATTAAACAATGAGCCTCGAGCCATACTCCCAAAACTAAAAGTTAACATTCTACATCCGGCACTAACCTGAGCATAGCCAACTCTGAGATACGTAATTCACTGTCACCCTTGATCCTGCTTCCCCCTGGGTGTATCATCCAACAAAAAAACATCCATAGCCAAGAGTCATCAATCATGCTCTCCAATTAGATTTTTGCCCGCCAGAAGCTTCAGTCATCTAATCAGTCTTTGGAGAAAATATGAATGGAATGTACTTTCGATTCCACACTGCTGCCTGCTCTTTGAAACTCCTCCCCTTTCTTTCTGTTGTCAACTATAAAACGTATATACAAAATGTTTTATGAGTTGACAGCAACATCCCAGGGTCATGTGATCACTTCTTGCAACCATCTGACCAGCAAAGTCAATAAGGGAAGCCAAATTCACTTAATGGTGTTACTAACTTATCAGCTGCAGTGATTCACTTAACAATTGTAGCAAGGAAGGTCATAAAATGGGGCAAAATTCACTTAACAAATGTCTCACTTAGCAACAGAAATTTTGGGCTCAATTGTGGTCATAAGTTGAGAACTACCTGCATCCTGTGCTATGAAATTAATTAATTATGGGTTCAAGAAGTAATTTATTTTTGAGTTTTAACTGTCCTGTTTTGAACCTTTTCTATATATGGCATCTTTTTAAAGTTTAACTACTTCAAATATCCCACAAACAAAAACATGGACTATAAGACCAATCCTTAAATACCCTTTTAACTTCCCTGAGTGTGTTAAAAACACTACCAAAAAGAAATATTTTCCCTATTCACTTTCACCGGGCTCTATAATACAGGTAGTCCTTGACTTACAACAGCTCATTTAATGACCGTTCAAAGTTACGGCTCTGAAAAAGTGACTGATGACCATTTTTCACACTTATGACCGTTGCATCATCCGAACGGTCACGTGATTTGCATTCGGATGTTTGACAGCTCAGATTTATGGCGGTTGCAGTGTCCCAGAGTCATGTGATCCCCTTTTGTGACCTTCTGACAACAAAGTCAATGAGGAAACCAGATTCACTTAACAACCGTTACTACTTACTAATTAATTTAAGAACTGCAGTGATTCACTTAACAAAGTAAGTATTTCTAGCAAAACTACCAGATTCTGTAACAGCTTTGTTTCCTTATGCCATCCGTCTGGTAAATGCACAAGAATTTGTTTTTTTGCCATGTACATGTATACATCCAAATTAGACTGTGTTGTTTCTCTGTGTCATATAGCCATAGCAATAGCACTTAGACTTACATACCACTTTAAAGTGCTTTACAGCCCTCTCTAAGATCTGGGTCCTCATTTTACCAACCTTGGAAGGCTGAGTTAACCTTGAGCCTGATGGGATTTGAACTGCCAAATTGTAGGCAGCTGGCTGCAGTCAAAGTAGCTTGCAGTACAGCACTCTAACCACTGCGCCACTGTCATGTGTGGGTATATGCATAATTTTGTATTTATTTATTCTGTCATGTAGTGTATATTGGAGGTGTTGAACCTTTGAGAGGTGTATGCAACAAAATTTCATTTTAATGTATGCCGATTAGTGACAATAAAGTTGTTCTGTTCCATTCCTATCGCTAAACATGGCGAGAAAAGTCATCAAATGGAGCAAACTCACTTAACAAATTTCTCAGTTAACAACATAAAATTTGGGCTCCATTATAGTAAGTTGAGGAGTCCCTGTTACCTTTCTTAAGGTGCTTTTCTCCTTTCTCCTCTGATAACTTCAGATGCACCGCTAACCTTTCTGCGCTTTTTTTTCCAGTTTCACAAAAAGGATGCAGGGATGACACTCGTACACGCAACCCTTCAAATTTCGGTCACGCCTTATAATTGCAAAAAAAAAAAAAAGAACTACCAGGGCGACCTTTCCGTACCCGCTGCGCACATGGCCCCACGTTCCCACGTTCCCCAAACCCTCCCAGCCTCTCCTGCCTGGCTCCGGCCTCGCCAGCTGAGCTGCAAAAAGTACATATTTGGGGGCTCCCGCAGTGCCTCCCTCCCTCGCCTGACTCTTCTCCGTCGTGGCACCACGGTCGCCGGCTTTCCATGCCCGCCCCTCCAGCACCGGCGGCCGCTTCGGGGCTCGACCCTCCAGAAGAAATCAAGCGACCCAAGCGAGGGGGGACTTCCTCCGCTTCCCCCCTTCAGGCAGCCCCCTTTGCCCACATCCGACCCCACCTTAGCCCCTCTCTCCCCCTTTAGGACCACCGCCCCAGATTTGCAGGGGATTCCAGGACGCTCTCCCTGCACTCACATGCCATATAGCGAAGAAGATGAGCGCAGCGGTGAGGAGCAGCGCCAGCATGTAACAGAAAGCAGCGAACGTGAACGCCATGGCGGCGGCGGCGGCGGCGGCGGCGATGACAACTAAGGAAGGCCGGCCCGACGGCGAGACGCGCGGAAGTTTCTGGGCTGGATCATTCAGGGTGGCCGTAGAGGCCCCGGAGGGGTGGGGGGGAGCGACAGGCGCTTTCGACGTCACTGCGCAAGCGCACAAAAGTGAAGCCGCCGCCACCGCCACAAGCCTTCACACAGACCGGAGTTGGGCGCCGCAGCGTCTACTGCTGGACGGCGGAGGAACTGCAACGTGGTTCTTTTCCCGACGCCGGGAGGTTTTGCTATTCGCATCCCCGGGAAGTGAGTTTCACGCAGGATACCTGTAATAATAAGGGAGGTGGCGTCCAGCGCTCTGTTTCCTCTTCTTTCGCGGAATAGCAACGTAGCGGGAGGATGCATGGAAAGGAGAACGTTATTTGCCGGGGATTATTCCCGGGTGAAGGTGGACTTCTGCACGTAGGACAGTGTCACGTCCGTCTGTACGGAGTGGAGCTTATACCACTTGCAGATCCCACCGTTAGGAAGCGACCACTAAGCTGGCTCCGTTACAATTTGGAATCGTTTTGCCAACCCCAGGAAAAAAGGGCTTGTCCTGTATTTGCCCAGATTCTTCTATGTTTTATTAGGAATGAGTTTATACCAGTCCTGGATGGGTGGTTACTAAAGGTTGCTCCTTGAAGGTTTGATTAAATTAAAAATCCAGCTCTGTTTAAAAATATAAAAATTGAATCATTGGCATTTATAAGTACATGTCATAGGCGTGTTACTTTCTGGAAAGCATGTACTTTTTTTTTCCGGAATTCATCTGGAGGATTCATTTTATTTGTACTTTTCATTGTTACCTTCCCCCAGTTTGGTGCTTGGATGTGAGGTGAACTCCCATAACCCCATATTTTGCTGTGGATGACTTCCTTTTTTAAAAAAAAGGTCTTTTCTTACCTAACCAACATGTCTTGATCAGTGGTGGGATTCAAAAAATTTTTACTACCGGTTCTGTAGGCTTGGTGGATGTGGCAGGGGAAGAATACTGTAAAATCTCCAGTCAGAGGTGGTATTTGCCAGTTCTCCAAACTACTTAAAATTTCCGCTACTGGTTCTCCAGAACTGGTCAGAACCTGCTGAATACCACCTCTGGTCTTGATACTGTAAAGGCTGGGCAAACTTCACTTTGTCTCAATCTGTCTCTCCTCACTTCCACAACTCTTCCCACAAAATCCTATATCATTTAGCTGTCCCACACGTCTGGTGACATGAGCTGCAGCTCATGAAAGGTCATGCTTATGAATAGCTTTTATTAATTGGAAAGAGTGATTTGGGACTATTGTAGACTAACAGGGCTCTTCTACAGTTTTGACATTGGAGAGAATGTCTGTAGAGATTCTCAGTCATCCAGGTCATGGTTGTCCCAAAGGTGCTTTTTTCAGGAGGCAACTGGACTTTGTTTTTTCTTTTCAAGATGTTTCGCTTCTCACCCAAGAAGCTTCTTCAGCTTTGATAGGATAGTGGGGAATGAAAGGATTTATATTCTTTGCATACAGCTGGTCATTTGCATCCTTCTAGAACAGGGGGTCCCCAAGCTTGGCAACTTTAAGACTTGTGGACTTCAACTCCCAGATAGCTGGCTGGAGAATTCTGGGAGTTGAAGTCCAGAAGTCTTAAAAGTTGCCAAGTTTGGAGACCTCTGTTTTAGAGGGTTGTTGAAGCACTTGGGAGGTTTATCTGTGTCATCAGGGTTACCTGAGTAGTGCTCCTGGTTCCTGTAGTGTGCAGTTTTTTTTCTCTGAAAATCCATTCCTATTCCCACACCATTCAAAGGGTGTTCATCCTAAATTATATAACTAAAACTCTGTAGAGATTCTCCGTCATCCAGGTCATGGTTGGAGTGAGTGTGTGCCAGCAATTTTCCATCACACAAGGAACAGGAATTGAAGTAGGATATGCCCATCAGGCACCTGCCACAAATGTAAGGTTTTTGAGAGTGGAGAAAGATTACCTTCTGGAAAGTTGATTTCAAGTTTTTTTTCTGAATCAGTGATATTTCCCGGTATCAATTATTTTGAGATCAGCTTCTGGTACAGGAAATCTGAAGGGGTGTGTGTGTGTGCGGGGGGGGGGGGGGAATGGTTTGCATGCATGCAAAAGCATTTCTTTATTACTTAAAACATATTAGAGGTGATCTCCCAGATTTCCTATTTATTGTGTTCACCCAAGTGTTCCAAGGAAGATCATAAAAGACCCATTTGGTTTCTTTGGACTTATCTGTTCTTTAGATTTGTTGATGACCACATCCAGTGACCAATAATTTCATCATGTCGATTATGTCTGTAAACAATGAGGTACTGCATTTCCACAAGATTTCTTAAGATGAAGCCCTCAAAATTGCACAGAATATATTTACTCAGGTAAACAACACAACTCTGGAAATACAAGTTTGTTTTATTTTCTAGATTTTCCACACTATGAAAAAATATGCTGAAGTTTTCAAAGGAATATGCCACTATATCTCACAAGATGTCTTTCTGGGTTAGTTACGGTGAATGTTGATCTCCAGCTACATCACTGTGTGGTGCTCAGATATTCCTAAATCTGGTATTCACATCCCTGAATTCCCATCACCCACTTATAAGTCAAAACATTGAGTATCACCCCCAGATCAGAATACAGATGAGTCTGATTTGTCCTAGAACTTCTTTAAAAGCCTATATTCAATGCCTGAAATCTCCATAACATTTTCTCCTGATCATGTACAAATAAGTGGGATCTTGGAATCTTAATGGACAAGCAGCTAAATATAAGCTAGCAGTGTGCAGCAGCAGCCAAAAAAGCTAATGCAATCCTAAATTGCATTAACAGAGGGATACAATCGAGATCAAGTGCGGTACTAATACCACTCTATAAAGCCTTAGTAAGACCACACCTGGAGTACTGCATCCAGTTTTGGTTACCAGATTATAAAAAAGATGTAGAGACTCTAGAAAAAGTACAGAGAAGAGCAACCAGGATGACTGGAGACTAAACATATGAAAAACGGTTAAAGAACTGGGCATGGCTAGTCCAGTGAAGAGAAGGACCAGGGGAGACATGATAGCAGTCTTCCAATATTTGAGGGGCTGCCACAGAGAGGAAGAGGTCAAACTATTTTCTAAAGCACCCGAAGGCCAGACAAGGAATAATGGATGGAAACTGAACAAGGATTCAACCTGGGAGTAAGGAGAAACTTTCTGACAGTGAGAACAATCAACCAATGGAACAGCTTGCCCTCGGAAGTTGTGGGAGCATCATCACTTGAGACCTTCAAGAAGTTGGACTGCCATTTGTCAGAAATGGTGTAGGGTCTCCTGCTTGGGTGGCAGGTTGGACTAGATGACCTACAATGTTACTTCCAACTCTGATTATCTGTTATCTGAAGCCTGATATACAACCAGGACTATTGCAAGTGAAAAACTAATATTCTGGCCAGACAGATTAGTTCTGCAGACTTGAACACCTGTCTTTTTCTTTTACGAATACTTCCTTCAATGGTTTGGTTAGGAGAAAATGACAATTTGTATTCAGTAAAAGCAGATGTTAACTTCCAGAAGCTAACTATGCATATCCCAAACTGGGTAGGCATCCCATCCTGTTATTTTATGTTAAAACAGTCCAATCAATTTATTTTCAAAGGGGAGATCCTGGATAGGAAGAGCTCTTGTTCAAAGGTTATATATTCCTTTTGCCAGGGGACCTTTGTGGTTTTCCCAGCTTTAAGCTTATTCTAACACATTAAAAATAGAAGACAGAGAGTTTGACAGGTTTTATTAACATTGTATGCTCATCGATACCAATACAAGCTCCATGCTTTGCCAAACAAAAAGAAAATGATTTTAAAAAACATGCAAAATCAACTAAGCAGAACATTAAAAATACCCCAATCACCACAACACCTGTCAAGCTGAACAGTTTCACAGAAATGTCAGGACTTTTCCAGTCAGTCAGTCAGCTCAGTGAACAATAAAAGTACATGTTCCAGTTGTCATTCAAGATCTGGGTACATTTTCCTTTTTATAAAATACTGTTGCTGTTATACAGAACAACTTTTCAGCAATAGAAATGTTTAATTATATTAAGTCAATACTTGGTAATATATTATTACAAAGAGACCAATATCCTCACTAATAATTTGCAAATTTGGAGAGGAGAGTTGAGTGAGCAAGAGTGGTCCTTGGTTCAATCTGCAGCCTTTTTCAGATTGTCTAGAAAAGACTGGTATTCTACCGATCAATGCACATCGATATTCTCCAACATGGCACCCTCCAGATGTGCTGGGGATAGAATTCCAAGAGTCTTAGCTAGTTCAGAAAAATGAACTATACCTGTTGGAAATTCAAGGACATAGAGTCTGGATATATCAGAAGGGTGCCAACTGGGGTAGGTTATTCTATCCGATACTAGCAATAGCAATAAACTTACATACTGTTCCCAATCCTTTACACCACTTTCAAGAAGGTGTACAATGTCAGCATATTGACCCCAACAATCTGGGTGATTTTACTGACCTCGGAAAGATGGAAGGCTGAGTCAACCTTGAGCCCCTCAGGATCGAACTCTAGATTATGGGCAGAGTTGGCAATATATTGAATTAGAACTAATGGCCTACCCAGCTGGCATCCTCCTGATGAATCCAGACTATATGTCCTTGAATTTCCAATAACTATATACTAGCTAAGATACTTAACATTGTAGAATTCTATGCCAAAAGCCCAAAAGGAAGATTGTGTCAAGGGAGTCTGAAGTATGGATACTACAGCTCATACTTTTCAGGTACAACTAGAGGAGATGGCAAGTGAGCTATAATTGGCTTGGTTCACCTTTATCCTCAATGATCCTTTCTCATAGCTTTGCAGTTTTGTACATTTACAATGTGCACATCAAATTACTGTCCCCAAATTAGGTATGAACTTCCCTAAATGACGTTTCATATAGTACTGATCTGATATCAACATATAAAATAGTGCACAACTACCAGGACTTTAGCAATCTAACCATTTTTATTAGTAGACTGATTCTTTTTTAAAAAAAAAACAAAACCCTGCATGCTATGAAAGCCTTTTCACATGTTTTACACAAGAACATAACCTTCCATCATTGAGGGGGGAAAACATTCGTCCGTGTACATAACCAGCCATGTCTATTCACTTAAATCAGGGGTGTCAAACTTGATTTCACTGAGGGCCGCATCAGGGTTGTGTTTGACTTCATGGGGCTGGGGTGGGCGTGGCCAAGGTTGGCGTGGCCAGCTCGACATCACTCATGTCGGCGCCTATGATGGCCTGAGCGCTCTGCCAGTGAAAACGGGCTTCCGAGGTCCATTGTCTGATGCGACAGCCTCCTGCAACCCTCTGCCAGCGAAAATGGAGCTTGGGAGAACCGCATGCGGCCCTCCAGAGCTCTGGTTTCACTGGTAGACACTCTACTGGAGTCAGTCCTTTGCTGTTTCAAGGATAGCCCCACATGCCACATCTAAGCACCACATGGGCTGGATGCGGCCCACGGTTCTTAAGTTTGACACCCCTGACTTAGATCAACTTTCCCTACTCTGGTGCCACTCAACACATCTGGAAACAGAGAAGAATGAATTAAATCCCACATGCTGACTAGTATTAACAGATTCACAAATGCCAGTTTCACATTTTATCCAGTGCATACTGCACTATCAATAAAGCATAACGATATGATTTCTTAAGTTCAAACAAGCTTTTACAGGAAAAGGGGAATACATTCATACAATTGATTCATATAATTGCAATGTGAATATTAAAAGCACATGTATTCTGTGATTCTTCCCTTTTGCTAGGTTCTTACTGTTGTTCACATGCTACAACAAACATGTGTTATGTATATGTAATATGTGAAAAGGCTTGAGGGGAAAAAATTCAAAACCAAGTATTTGGCCTCATTTTGAAATACTGACAATTCTAATCTATAAAAGATTAATGAGAAATACTACCAGAAAAAGACCAGAAATGGAATCATTGTTAGAAATTTATCATCCCACTGTATTATTACTTTTTATCAGCTTATTAAAACATCCATATGAAGATTTGATTTAATCAAGTTAGTATTCAAAAAGTTGTTACAGCTACGTGTTTTGATGGAAACTCTTCACATGTTGCTCCTTCAAATCCAAATAGAGAGGAAGGGGAGCAGGAAAAAAAAACCTCTCATATTAGCTAAAGATGTGTTTCAAGGCTGCTAACAGAATTCCATTCAGGAACAACTATAGTTCACATCATACTGCCCCAAAGACACCACAGAATGAAATATTGTGGCAGGGTAGGGACAAGCAATTGCTTAGAAAAGACAAGAGCTTCCAAATTGTGGAGCTTAGTCTCAATCTCTTTAAACCTAATATCAAGCCTGCAGTTTCCTTCACTGACTTTAACCAAACATAATTCCAAGGAGTGCTCAGCTACGTTTGTTTTTCTTGCCAAACTTTTCAGACAACTGAACAGTATTTCTAATTTTTAAATACTTCTGACAAATAATTCATTTTCCAGACTCTCTTCACCCTCCATTTTATCCTACACCAGAGGGCCACAAATATGGTCCGGGAACACCATATACCAGTGGGCACACCAACCATTTTTTTTAGCAGCACTTAAAGACTGAATAATCTTCCCCCTTTTCTGCTTTCTGGAGAATTTAACTGGCAAAATGGGTGATATACAATTTACTTCTTAAAACTCTTGACACTTATCCAAAACTGAACCAAACTTCACTAACTCGAGTATGATTCACAAAAAGCTCAGTACAGTTCTTGAGCTAACTGAGAGTCTACTCTAATAAAAGGGAGAAAAAAACATTCAAATTAAGAGCATCCAAGGATTATAACCTTAGATGAAGGACTGCAGTCAGTTGCTTAAGAAAAAATATTCCTAGAAAAAACACTGGTTTAAAAAAAACTAACAAAAGAATGGTAAAGAAGCCAAATAAGCACAAAAAAAATCTTCAGACATATTTGGTACCTAAAGGATTTCTATGTATATCCTCCTTCAGCCAAAGAACAAATCTGCTCCCCCAATATCCATGAAAAACAGCCTCTGTACTATTTGTACTCTGTTAATAGTTTAGGGATAACCAGCTGCAGTTCATTGTAATGCCATTCAAGATGGAACAATTAGACCAGAGCCTAAATGATCCATTGCAAAATCCCAGACATGATTCATTGGAAGGGTTATCAGCATTAAATATATTCTTCTAATATAGCATTCATGACATAAAAATCTGGGTTTTTACTTTCTCAGAGAGTACAAGTTTTACTTTAGGTATTTATAGTCACTTTCACAAATTCCCAAGAAACTAGAACCTCAGTTCCAAGTCTTCAATAGAAATAACTGTTTATATGATGAATGCATATCCAAGGAGCTCAGAGTAGCTTCAGAAAAGGTCTTTAATAAATCCTATCAAGTAATAGAAACACTATTAAAGTGTGCCTTTCTGAAGGCTTATTTGTAGGGTAAGTCTCTAGAAAAATCCTAAACTATTTGTGTATTTTTTAAAAGTATATTTATATTGATGGTTCTCTCAATCCCAGTCCACAGTTCTCCCTCGCCTTAAGAAGAGAATGGGAAGTGTCTGTTTAAAATTATATAAAATAAAAAGAAATGCCCAAAATGGATTATATTTTCCTACTAACAAAGACAGAAGACACCCATTAAAGAAAGAAAAAAAGACCGCTCATATTTTTTATGTCATTTAATAATGGTCTACCTCAACATGTTATTTTAAGCATAGCAGTTTTGCCTATCTGTAATAACTGTCCTCTTTAAAACGAACAGCCCAATTCTATGCAAGTAAGCAGCTTGCCGAATTAGGCAACCCACTCATATGCCAAAAAAGCATAACCCAATCAACGCATGGTTTATCTAAAGTGAACAAGAATTGGTCTACTAAAATGTAAAAGCTACTACTTCTTCCTTTGTTCTGGTAATGAGAAATTCTTGGAAGCTTGAAAGTATTTGGGGGGGAAATGCTTCCAAGAATCGTATCAAGAAATCATATTACCAGAGTTATAATCCCTTTAATGCCAACTGGTATCAGATTCGGTATACAGAATCTGACATTTTGCCCAACTAGATGACCTAGGATACGGGTGCCAAACTCCGTGCATTATGTTGACATCACGTGATGTATCACATTTTTTTTCCCTTCGTGGAGCTGGGACAGGCATAGCCTGCATATAATGCATCTGGCCCATGGGCCACCAGTTTGGCACCCCCTGACCTAGGATATGTTGAGATTTTGGAATGCTGCAGTTATAATCCACGTATAATGTACCACGCCGAGACAAAGCCATGTAGAATTTGATCAACTAACTATCAGTTTGGGGAACAACGTATATTTCTGCTCCTTTGTCAGTTCACATTTGGCTACCCCTGGTCTTAGGAATCTCACAACAATAGACAGGAAAGGCCTCACCTGTCTGTCTCTAAAGACTATACTGCCAATTTATTGGCCACATCATCTATTGAAGGCAGAATCAAGTTTTGCAGCTAAGTAATTCAAGTTGTTGATCAAAGAGGATGGGATTCTTCGATCTGTATATGATATTATCAAGGTCCAGTCAAGGAGAAGTGCACGATGTTAAGCATGACACCAAGACACTGCTCTCCCCCATGCGTTGCAATGGATATTCCTCTGGCTTCGGAGAAGGCATTGGCTACATATTTTTAAAGTACAAAAAGGAAACTAAGGTAGTTAACGAAGCCAAAGTCTGCACGCTATAGATTACTTCTTTCCTCCCCTGCATTTGTAAGAATCCAGGCGCGCGCACACAGCCCTGTCTATTGAGAGACAGAATGCAGAGATGTGGTGGACATACTCCAGAATATGTGTTGACTTTTAATTTTCTTTTTTTAGCCAGGCAGAGCATTTTGCCTTAAATCATAGCAGTGTAAATCAGAGTGTATGCACCTACAGCTGAAGTTAATGGAAAGAGAGATTAAGCTATCAGACGCTGCTAATAACGTCTTAGACAAAGTTAACCTGTATCAAATTTAATATTTTTGTTAAAAAAATGGCAGTGTAAGACTTTCTTACAATCATTTGATAGATTTTTTTTTTAAAGGCACACAGATTGAGAAGTGCTTGCATAAAAAGTCCAGAAAAGTCAAGACTTTTATATTAATAGATCTACATATAAAGACTTTTGGAATGGAAGTCCACTACAGTATGTGACCAAGCCCTTAGGAGGTTGCTTAAATCTACTTTCTATTTGATTAGTAAAAATGCTATCCTTTACATACACAAAAATAGTGTTAAACCTTTGATCCAAAGTGGAAATGTAAGGTTCAAAATAATTGGGGGTCTTTTAAGAGAAAAGAAAAGCCCTATCTGGAAAAGTTAGGAACCATACTAAAGTATCTATCCTAAAATAAATTGGGCCCAATTCAAACGTTTTCATTCCACTGAATTCAGTGTTATTTTCACATACTATTAGGTCCAGTTATTAATTATTATCTAGTTTCTATTAAAAGAAGATGCACTTGTAGCTCAAGGGGGGGAGGAGAAATCTGCTGTAAGTTTCCAGACTGCTTGACTGAGTACACAGGTCCACTGATACAAACAAGGGCTAGTGCACAATGTGTCCCTTTGGAGCAGGTGTGTCAAACTCATGTCATCATGGTGGTGTCACGTGACATACCAGGACTTTTTCCTCCTTTGCTAAACTGGGCGTGAGCATGGCCAGTGTATGACGCATCCGGCCTGCAGGCCAGGAGTTTGACAGCCCTGCTTTGGAGATTCTGCCCCAGAGCTGTAAACAATTACCAGTTCTGATAAGTCCAGATAGAAATATTAGTCATGTAAGTGTAAAAAGAAAAAAAAATATCCCTGCAGGAAGGAAATTGTTCCCTTTTAAACAATTAGAAGGAAAGGAATAATCCTGGGCAAAGTTTGGTTAAGCAGGAGACAGTTCTTCCCCTCATGTATATAAATTTTGCACAGACAAATATATACATATATATGTACATACATATAAACATTGCAGGAAACAACTATAAGTACAGTGCATTCTTGTTAGGTTTAGAAAGCAGGAGTCATGTCTGGTTCCACTTTGAACTGGATGGAATGCTTAATCCTTCTTTTAGTGGAAGTAGCCGAGCTTCTCCTGAAGCCATTCCTCAGTGAGATCTTCTGTATTCCTAATTTCAAATACCTGGGGAAAACCCAGAAATAAAAATAGCTCCAGCAAGTACATCAAGACATGGTTAAAAGGATAAACCACAATTGACTATGTTGATACAATCCACTAAGCCAAAGCTAAACTAATTACATTATGGTTTAGCGTGCTGTATGTGCTAAGCCAAAAAGACATCTAGTCCAAAAGGGAATAAGAAAAGATATTATATAATGTATTTTTAATTTAATGTTGTTTTTTTTAGAAATCTATTACTACTGATGCAGATAAATTTGTCCAGGAACAAACACACAATCATCTATCCTTGACCTAGAAACTGCGAAAGTTGAATGTCTTAAAAAAAAATATGGCCATTCAGTTTGGGGCCTTTAAAACAGTGTATCGACAGATCAAGCTACAGTACTATCTTAAGACTTATTTCCCACAGCGACAGGACACTCAAGATCAAGACAGAATCTTTTCAGTTGCAGGTAAATGATACATGATAGAAATCCATTCTTGGAGAGCAGATCAAGGAGGAATCTACATCGAAACCTCCTCCCCAGCATTTTAGTTTTTTCCTGTGTATGGATGTATTAATTATTACTAGGGAGAACACTGAGTCATGCAAAGACCACCTGTGGCTTAAAGCCTAAGATTACTTCTGAAGCTCACCAGTTAGGAATGGAAAAAAGAGGAAAGTCAACTGTATGAAAGTGCAGTATAAAGTGGCCCAGTTCTTCACTGAAACCTGGTGCTCAAAAATACTGTACTTTGGATGTGCATCAGCCTCTTGAAGGAGCAATGGCCCAACAAAGAAGGGATGCACTAAGTTGCCCACAAAGGCCCTGTTGGGATACACCAGATTCCTGAAGCAGAAAAAGAAACGCACAGCTGGGAAGGAAGGGTGAATGCAGCAATTGTAGTTATTTTGTGATTTATCTATTCTCCAGATCAATGTTTCTCAACCTTATGCTCAAAGAGCACTCCAAGGACGATACATTGGGCTACTTGCATCCCGGAGCCATTATTTGCCACCTCCAGGAAGCCAAATAAAGTATCAATTTCCATAGTTAAAGATCAACATTCACCAGCCAAATCTCCATTGAGCATAGAGCTGTATGTGAACCCCTCCCAGAGAATAGCAATTCTGGAAAAGTTATGTAGTACGTGCTACAAAGTCCAGCTTTCTCTTGAGATCAAATTTTGGTAAGTACCAGATTATGCACATCCTGCAAATATCAGAGTTTGAATTGACAGGCTCTTTAGGGAGCCAAGAGGGAACATCAACTTCACAACAAATGCATCATAACAAATGCTTCAGTTTTACCTTTGTGAGTTCTGCTGTTTGTACTAACTTATTTTTGCTGCCAGCGTACATCATCTGTTGCTCAGGCTTACACCCTGTAATTGTAAAAAGGGAGGAAGGCAAGCAGAGACAAATAAAACCACATTAGTCAGTCTATTTAGTCCTCAGTCCTTACTGCATATGCAAGAAACAACTGACCTTTTCCTTATCCTACTTACTGCTTTAAAATTAACATTAACAACTTCCCCAATCTAATGATTTCCAGATGTATCAGCCCAATTCTCACAATAGACTGGCTAGAAACTAGGAGGGGTTGAAGTCGTCCAACACATCTCAAAAACATCAGCTTGGAGAAAAATTGATTAGAAAATTGTGCATACCAAGAAAGATTCAGTTAGCAGTAGCAGTGGTTATTTGTTAAAAGTGCTTGAAAATATTGAAAAGGCCAGGCTGCCTTTTGCTCCCTGAATATGCCTATAATCCACAGTCTTTATCTAGAACTATTACAAGTACTCTATCGGTGGGCACTAGGACAGAATTTTTTTCTATAGCAGCATCCTTAGTCTGGGGGTTTAAACCTTAAGGAATGTTGATTAAGAATGCTTTAGTTTAAGGGCTGATATTTTTATTTTTGTATATTGAAGATAATGCTTGAAGGTTGAAAAGCATTCTATAGATGTTTTCATACATGCTTATAAAAGAAACCAAAATCCGCAACTTCACGTTCTAGAGATGTTTGGGGTTATGACTTCCATAATCATTTACTAGCAGGGGCTATAGGAGGGCACCAGGTTTCCTAGCACTCTACACACATACTGAACATGAAATCTGATCAACCATTTACTTATTTCACTATCTTCTTTAAGCCAGTAAAAAGATATTTACTGCAGACATCAGCTGCCAATTCTATTCATATACACCAAAAGTACTCAACACAGAACATATGTTCCACAGTCTATACCAGCTTGTCAGATTGGGAACATATAATAAGCATCCACTGAATGTTCTAAAAAGCACTTTAAAAGTTTACACACATTACTGAGTGATTTTTATTATTTTCATTACAGCAGGCCATTATTAGCCCTGTGCTGAAGAGATGGTAATTTAAGATTTGAGGAAATATATCTTAAACAAGTGAGACAATTTGGTATATTAACCCTTAACATTCATACACAGAGACTCAGTGTTCACCCACGGTGTTAATTTGGCATACAAGCCCTTAAGATAATACACACTCAGCGTTCACATATTGTCTTGTAAATCAGAATGTGCATCATGATGTCATAAATGATGCAAAATTATATTTCCGCTATGACATCATAATATATGTGCATTATTTGGCTACCGCAAATGCCACATGGTGTTAAGCTATTGTTTTATTTATAAAGGTTCTCACGTAACACTAAACCCATGACAACAACAACTACTTGCTTTATAAAATATATTAAAACTAAACAAAAGCCATTATGGCTTAGCGAAGGGCCATCTGCCACAATACAACGTTGCAGTCCTCTCCAACTTCTACGGTTTTCAACTTCTTAGAGTTTGAGGTGTTGATATTCTTCTACAAGATCTCATAAGACCTCTTGCAAGGATTCCAAAATTTTACAAGACTAAAAAAAAAAAAATCTAATATAGGTGATCCCTGGATGGTATTTAGACGAATTGGGAATGCTAGGGACTATCTGCATAACTAGAAGTTGCATTCCCAGCTACCATCCAGGGATCACCAAAATCCCTATGTTAGATTTTTTTTCCAGTCTGGTGGAATTTTGGAATCAGGGAAATGAGAAATGCCCTTACATTTCAAAATCCAATTTCTATCAAAGGTTATTCACCAACTCAATGTAGAATAAAGTGCAAAATTGCTGAGATCTTTACAAATGTCATTAAACAAGCCTTTAAATTTTTTCCTGGCGAGACTGAAAACAATTGCATTCCCATTAGCTATCAAGATTAATTCTTACCAAGAAGGTCTACAGCCATTCTGTAGAGACCGCTTGTTGATCTCTATAGAGACCGCTGAGAGAGGGCTATAAAGCATGTGAAGTGGTATATATGTCAAGGTGCTATTGCTATAGACTCCTTGTCCTATTGTTCCTACAACTGTTATTGAGGTAGGCTTCAACTGTTTATCTTCTGCATTCGTTGGCCCAACACCAAGGCTCTTATAATGACACTCGGGAGCCAAACAACATGAACTTTTCCCAGCTAATCCAAATGAAAATCTTAATACATTTTATCTTAGATGGCAGCCATCTTTTTATTTTCACTGAAGACAGTTTGCACAATTAGTTCACTAGAGTTTCACTTACCAACCGGACTTGAGAAGATAAAGCAGAGCGGATAAGAGACTCGCCCATCATCATGCTGGTACTTGTAGCTATAGACAATGAATGTGTTCTAAAGGTAAGGAAACTAGGGAACTTAAGTGTGGTTTGTAGAATATTCCACAGCTGGCTCGGTTGACATACACACTAAGCTAAAACCAAATAAACTATAGTCTTGTTTGGAGCAATGCATGAACCCAGTATGGAAATAAAGCTCTTTCACCTACTATAAATCCCTTCCGTTCCTAGACACTTATGCCAGAAATGAGTTTCTAAGAAAGCTCTGCACATGATTATGATGAAGATTAACCTCTATGCCAAGAACCACAACATAAGCTTATTGGCTCAGGCACCAACAAATGACCGCAGAGTCTTGTTTCTATGTACCAAAACATTACTTTGAGCACTGATAAAGGATATCGAGGTTGTCTTTCTGGAAGTTCATCTTTTAGTTCATCTGGAGATATGCCCTGTAGGAGTCACAACAACTTTATTTATTATAGCCTTCATTCATTTTAAAACTGTCAACTTTAAAAAACAGATTATGATGACCTGTTAGCTTAGCACAAGAATATCCTGTATTTTTCTTTGGCTGGATACATATATAAATAGATAATGTACCTATTGAGACCATGTTTAGCAAAAAACCAAAGTGTTTGTCTATTTAAGCTTGGCAAAGCAAAAAGCTACTTCTGCCTCTTACTCAGACATACCTCGTGTTCTTCATCCAGAACCACCAGCTGTTTCTCTTTGTCAATCTTCACTATACAAATAAAAAGAAGGAAACAAAAAAAGTTAATTTAAATTATGCTATCTGGGGAGAAAAAACTATTGCATTCACTTAGATGCCTTTTTTTAACTGGTTGCTTTTTTCTTTCACCTGAACTGAATGCAACAAGACCATTAGACAAAGTATTTCCAAATACAGGTAGTCCTTAACTTACAACAGTTCACTTAGTGACCATTCAAAGTTACAACAGCACTGAAAAGTGATGTATGACCATTTTTCACATTTATGACCGTTGCAGATCCCCATGGTCATGGGATTTACATTTGGATCCTTGACAACTGACTCACAGTTATGACGTTTTCAGTGTCCTGGGGTCAAGTGATCACCTTTTGCTACCTTCTGATAAGCAAAGTCAATGGGAAAACCAGATTAACTCAACAACACTGTTACTAACTCAACAACTGCAGTGATTCACTTAACAATTGTGGCACTTAACAATTGTGGCAAGGAAAATCATAAAGTGGGGCAAAACTCAGAACAAATTTCTCACTTAGCAACATACATTTTGGGCTCATTTGTGGTCATAAGTTGAGGACTACCTGTAGTCATCAGGCTGCACTTTTATCACAAGCAGGCTAGTTCACACATCAAATTTAGCCAAAGGAGCACTGTGTCTGGTCCATGTTCATCTAATCTTTGGCTCTCAGCATGTTTCCAGGGAAGTTGAGACTCAGATTTATTGAACCATTCATTAGTTAAAACCCATAAAGATTCAAGGCTTCAGTTTCTCCACTGCTCCCCAAAGGATCCTGGTCCTATCTACACTGAAATAAAAAGGAGATGTGTACATTGCCTTATTTATAAAAATAATGATGGGATTTTTAAAAAATCTAGTATCTAAATGGTCTTTGTGTGTCACATCTAATGTAGTACAGCCCTCAAGCAAACAAAGGCAATATGTTATTGTTTCTGCATTAAATCCTGTATATGTAATTTGGCTTAGGTTTTGTGCATTTTGTTAATCGAACCATTGCCATTCACAAATGCTAAAAACATCTGCATCACCATCTTAAACTTCTGAAATCCCTTCTGAAAACAGGCTTTGAATCTGGCCAACTTTGAAATATGGCCTTTGATATGTTGCATAAAGCTGATGTGGTCCTGAAGCCAACAGAAGTTTCACATTCCCCACTGGATGCCGAACACAATTAACCTACTTGAATGCCAAAGCCTGCAATCTTTGGAATTTTGCAATGCAGGCTGTACATGTACTTCAAATGCAACTCAAACAATGGAAATGCTACACAGGAAATGTGGATTTTATGTGATTTTGTTTGCACAAAAGTACACTGTACTCAACAATGTACTCAAACTAACTCAAAATAGGACAAACCTGTACAACCAAATGGTCCTAGATTTGCTTCAAAGACTTAATGGCTTTTTAAAACTTGTGTGTGTTTAAAAAAAGCTATTAAGTATTGGAAGCAAATCTAAAAGCACACACACACATATGTTCAGAAACAAAAATCCAAGTTAATGTCCGCCAGAGAAGAGAACATGAGACTGTATTATTCCTTTATGAGTGTTGTGAGCCCTCTCTTTCAGCTTACTGATAATGGCTGCATTGTTCGTGTCTTTACGAAAACGAAATTTTCTCAGCTTCTCTATAAGGTCTTCAGCAACATCACAAACCACTAGGGATTCACTCTAAAAAGAAGAGGGGCAGGGAGTGAAAGAGAAAAGGCACAGATGAACAAAAGGACTCTTTATTCCAGCCATATATATCATTCCAATCCTCTCAACTGCTGGAGATGCAATGCATATAAAAAAATATCAGGCAATATCTGGAGAATAGCAATATCAGGCAATATCTGGAGAATTTTGAAGGAGAAAAAAACACATAATGAGAATGTAGTATAGTATCCATGAGGGCAAATGTTGCAGTTTCCTAGTCTGCTGCTCTCCAGATAAGTTTAGTTCCCTTTTATTTGGAATGTAGGGAGAAGATTTCAAGACCCCATTACCAAATCCTTTCAGCATATACGATGGAGGCTTGCTGGGGGTTGCTGTAGTCCAGCCTATTTGGAAGGACCCAAGTTGAGGATGTCTGGCTATTCACATTTTCACTTTCTTTGTTTTCCTGCACAACTATCAAAGAAATCAAGCTTCAGGCAATCAGAGGATACATACTCAGTGTTATAACTAGAGAAAGGATACTTATCCTTTTCTTCCCTCAAAATCTTTGATGGACTTGCTTGTTGTATCTCTATTCCTACATTCCAGGGTGGAGAACGCAAGGTCGTTCAGGTGTTGTTGAATTGAGAATTCCAGCATCCCTTGCCTCTGACTATGCTTGCAAGCTTGCTGGGCAACATTTTGTTTGTTTTATAGTGTAAACTCAGGGCCTCCTGCTTCCTAGCCTGGCGCCTTAACAAATTGACTCGTTCAGGTATCCACTACTTTTCCTGCCTGTGGCCACCTCTTCGATCATCCTTGCTGTTGAAAGGTTTCTAACTTGTTCAAATAATTCCACTTGGCATTTCCTCTGCTCTCTGCCATCCAAAAATCTCTACCATGCTACTTTTCTTTCTTTCATTCTTTCTTTCCTTCTTCAAATCCTTCATTTGCTTGTTTTGTAAAGTATGCAACAGAATGCACTATCCTCACACCCAGCTGAAACTAATCTTACTATACTTATAAAAATTATTCTCACTTGATTGTCCATGATTTCAATTCCCTAACTTTCCTATTCTGTCTCTCTCAGGTTGCTTTCCTGACCATTATGCCTTCTGGAACTTGCCTTTTTATTATTTTGATTTTTGGGGGGTCCACATATATATAGACAATACTTACAATTGACTATTCCTAGTACTCCATGGCAACATCTCCCAACGCACAGCTTATTATCAGAGTTCAATATGGGCAGCAGTGCTAAATACACTTCTGAGAAAATACATCCTTTTGAGTTCAATGCGATTTACTTCTGCAAGACCTAGTAGTAATTCTTGGGTATGTTCACATATTTTACGTAGCCATAATGTTACTTTGGTTTTGGCTAGAATATCTCCGTAGTGACTGTTTAGTCAGAAATGTATGGTTAAAAAAACCATGACTTAATACAGATTGAAGCCAGCTAAGAGCAAATTGTGGACTGTACAGATCTAGCATTGCAGTATCCATCCCAGGAAGGAAGCCAACACTCAAGTCTCTTTGATCCAATATAACTAATGCATGTGTTACTAATTCAGACAGCTAAGCAAACCCAGATTTTTTTTTCACTCTGCAATAAATAAATTGGAGATTCCCATGTCCAATATAAAAAAGCTATGCATTTTCACAAAATGGGCAATTAAGCTACAAAATTTCTAAAAATGTAGCAATAAGGACCAATTATAAAAGGAAACAAGACAATTTATGAAAAATAGTAGTTATTAGTCACAACTGCTATATATTACTTCCAGTTACCAAGGCAGCATGATTTTCAACATTAAGAAAACATTAGTCCATGTGTTTATGTTGAGCTTTGAATTTCTCATATGCACCTGGTTCTAAAAGAAGAAAACTCCTGCACCTGGTTGTCCAACATTGATATGCTGGATAGATGCTAGACTAGGATGCTAAAGTGATTCAGATGTTTTTATTCAGGAACTAGCTGGCAAAATTATTCAAAACAGGTATTGCAAATGAAGGGAAATATATGCGTCCCAGGATAATATTGCAGGATCCAATTGAATTGGTCAAGGGGACCAAAGCTTTATTCTTTCAAACTTTGGGGCTCATGCTAAAGCCCATTATCAGGGAACTTCTCTCTCTCCAGAATATGTAAAACAGATATTCATCATTCTATATTACACAAATAAATCAGAATAGATGATATGACATTTCTTTTAAAAACAACCTCTTGCTCATAAACCCAACCTGCAATCCATTTTACTGGATGCTTACAATACTCACCGTATGAATGCTGAATGAAAATATATCCTGGCAGTTACAATTGCACACAATTACCATACATTAAGCCAGAAAAGCCACAAATGAGTTCCCCAAACAGATTGACTTTCAGGCATTTGTTATGATATGCAAACCAACTATTTAAAAAAAACATTTGCTTATAACATAAGGTTCTGAGCCTGCAAGGAGTCCTTGAGCATAAGAACAGAGTATCGCAATCTTGTTGCCAAGGAAAAAGAATAAAATGGATTCAGAGGTCTTCATCTTCTGTATCTTTCTGTTTAGAGATTTGGTATCAGTCCTGTGCTATAGCAGGAGCCAGTATAAAAACCACAGGATTGGAGGAAGATTAATTTATTGACTTTTCCTCCTCTCCCTTTGCAAAAGATTGCAAAATGTTTTGGATAAGAACTGGTTTTTTTGTTTATCTTACATCTATTCCTCCAAAGCATCTAATGCATTAAAATGCATTTTTGAGGAAATATAACATCTAAGAAAAGTTGCTTCAAAGCGCATAATTCCTAGTTAGGGGCAGGAAGAAGATGCTGACTATATCTGATGGGTTTAGAAACACAGACATGTACTGTATTTCTTCATAACAACGTCTTAAAATCTCTCACAAATAGACAGCTTGGGATTACAAAAGTCTTGTTTTTTCAGTTAGGTTAAAGTTTCACCAACAGCTTCTGAGCACACAGAGAGATAAGTCAAATTCCTCAATATTAAGCAATATTTGTAGTTAGGAATTAGAAGTTGCAGCAACACAAGGGAATGGATTTGAAGAGAAAGGCAATGAAGAGCCCCAAGGCCATTCAAACCAATCTCTCCTTGCAATGTACACAAGCTACCTCTCCTTGCAATGTACACACTATCTATCAACATTGGCTATAGATAGAAAATGACCATACTTTTTGGACCAGAACAATTACTTTTACAAAAGAAAATAAGAATACTCAGACGTATGGTTTAACACAAGTAAGGAAAAAACATTAGCTCTTTAAATTATATATTCTAAGGAGCAATAATAAAATAATAAAACCTTCAAATTAACTCCTAGTAAATCCATGGACATCAATTCAAATCAGTTTATTTGGGGTTTTTGGTAGCAACATGAAATTGTTTGCTACAGCCTTCTTCTATAGTTTTTTTTTTTTAAATTATTTTCCAGTCTAACATCCTGAGATTTTTAGATGATTTCTCATCCAAGAACTAATCAGTCAAGGTTGGCTAGATGCTGCCACCTGCTTAACAAGGAGCATTTAGGTGCCATAACATCAGATTTTGCCAACTCCTTCGAGAGTTACATATACTAAAACCAGTTGGCATTTTCCCCCTACACAAGTCAGTCAGTTGCAAGATCTCTAGAGCAATTCTCATGGATTACAGTTCTCTTTTCAGGAATTTTTAGGAAACACATCTTATAAAGTTCAAGTTGAACCTCACGGACATTTTCCCCAGTGTGTGTCGAAGTACACAAACAGGCCTATAAATGTGCTTCAATCATTCCTGAAATTTAAGCCACTCATGTCTCCACTTCTCCATCAAATCTTGAAAAAAATGTCAAGTGCAAATTTAATGCAATTATTTCTCTGTGAGCATAAATTTAAAATATTTGAAGGGGCTTTTCCTAGAGCAAGTTATGCCAAAGTGGTCAATACAGTACCAACCCTCATGGTTCAATAGGGCAATCCATTATTATTTCTATTCATTTTACTATTATTCCATTACTATTTACTATTAGTTATACTAGTATTTATTAAATACTCGAGGCTCAAAGAACAATCTGAAACTTCATGAAAGGGTTGATGAGATGAAGAGTATGGGCTGTTAAGAGGCTAGAGTCTAGACTATTTCTCAATCTCGGAGAAAGAGAGGGGTAGACTTCAACTCCCAGAATTTCCCCAGCCAGGTTGAGGTTGGGAAAAACTGGACTAGAGGGAAAGTATCCGTTTTCCCCAAGGTCGGATCTCCCAGATGTGCTGGACCACAAATCCTAGCCATTTATTTTGATGGTGGGAGAGGAGGAGGGAAATAAAACTCTACAGACGGAAAGAAATGATCGCTTGTGCTAGAAAGAGAACTGCAAAATGGGGCAAGAAAATTGCAATTTAGTCCTACTTTTGCAAGAAGCATTGATTTTTTTTTTCCTGTGAGGCGGCGACACAGAGTAGCAAAACTAAACTGTCCCCCTTCCTTCTGGCGCGAGGGAAAATTGGGAGATAATTTCATTAAAAAGAAGCATCGATCCGAAAATTGGTGGCTCTTCCCCGCAACTGGAATTCATCGCCTTAACCTTTTTCAAATATTTAGGCAAAGCTTTGGGGAACCCGTACGTTGCTTACAAGCCACAATATACCTTTCTACTTGTAACAAACAAGCTCACTGCATTCAATTTAGCTGAATTTGTTGTTATGGGGGAGGGGGATCTCGTTCTCCATTCAATAGGAGAGGGCTATTTTTTTAGATTTAAATAATCGCAAGAAGCGCGGGAAAAAAGGAAAGATGAAGACCCAAACCCTAAATTAAAAAAAAAAAAAAACGAATCGCGATTCCACGGCAAGAGGTCTTGTGAACTTACCATCTTGTAGCTGCTGCAGCCTCCTTCCCGAGCGCTGGCCCTTTAAGAACCCGGGAGGGTCGTCCCCGCCTCAAGCCCCAATCCAGTTCCAGGCCCAACTTAGTGCGCATGGCCTGAGCACTTCCTGAACCAATCAATTGTATCGCTCAGCTCCGGCGGCGGCCTCCCCCTAGCTACGGTGAGCGAGAAGGCGAGTTGGACTAGAACGCCCTCTCAAGTGGGAATCATTATAGCGATTGTCTCCCTACTTCCCTCCCACCCGGGCCTCCATCGGGCCTCCTCCTCCTAGAGAGGCTGGAGGATAAAGAGCGTCCACAGTCGCTAGTCTATCATTCCGGGCGGGGCGAGGGAGTGCGCCTAGCTCTCCCTCCTCTCAGTTAACCAGGAAGCAATGTTGCTATGGTAACCAATGAGCTTTTCTTCTTCCCCCTCCCCCCAAAAAATGAACCTGTGCTACCGCCCCCTTCAAAACCGAAACAAAGCCAATCTAAAATTAAATATTATTAATCCAAAACGAAAAAAGAACAATTACTTACATTTTGGCCGTGTAAGTCTTATTTTAAAAGTTCAAATTTAACATTTGTTAATGAGGGATCCTTGGCGCTCTCTAAATTTTGTTTTCTTGCAGATGTTTCATTGCCCAAACTAGGTAATATCATCAATGCTAATAAAAAAAATTTAATATCTCTACTATAGAAGTAGTCATGTGACAACAAGGAAATCATCTTTGGTGTATGCTGTTGAAGACTTAACCACTTCATGAGATTGAGACTTGTTCCAGCCTTTTCCAATCTGGTGTTTTTATTTATGTATTTTGTTAAGCCTGGATTCCCCAACGGGTGTTAAGGAAAACAAACTAAACAGAATGTGCAGCGAAGTCAGATAGGAAGACAGGTAAATGTGTGAGATAAGTTTTCTAGTTAACACGCAGTAAAAATACAGATACGCTTGTGCTATCAAAAATATAGTTTATTCCATTTAAGAATTATAGCATAGTCAAATATAAACGGTCCATTAGTCATATATCAATTTCAGTCAAGTCTTGTCGGGGATACTCTATTTGCAAAATCCGTGTTGAGTAGCCAATGTCAGTTCACTTACAATAAATCAGTCCAATCTTATCTTCTCTCAGTTGAGAAAAATCAACACTCCTTCAAGAACGTAGTCATCAATCCATCCAGTAATTAGGGATCAGTAAGCCAGAGAGAGAGAGAGCTGCATTTGCCTGGCTTCATATATAGTGCTTTTACAACCACACCCTTAATTACATTCTTGCTGTTAAAGTTACACACACTTTAACTAACAAACCATGATACCATATTTATTATTTTTACCCAAAACAGTTAGGGTAAACAATGTTATCCCTAACATATTTGATTTGTCAATAGCTTACAAGATAATAGGTATAAGTATAAACATGAGTAAGAATACAGGAAATAGGTACGAATAAATGGGAACAATAGGATAGGGACGGAAGGCACAAACTAGACCAGAGTCTCCAACCTTGGTAACTTTAAGACTTGTGAACTTCAACTCCCAGAATTCTTAAAGTTGCTAAGGTTGAAGACCCCTGAACTAGACCACATCCTCTGTCATTTCCAGCCAGCATTGTATCTCTATTAGCTCACCCTGATTTGCATTATAATCCTGGTGGATACCCAATTGGGTTTTTATATTATTATCAACTTGTTACTCTCAAACAGCGCTTCTCAACTTTGATCACATTTTAAGATGTGTGGACTTCAACTGAAGAATTCCCCAGCTGATAAGAACTTAAATTCCCAGAATCCCCCAGCCAACACAATAGTACTTAGACTTATATACCACTTTATAGTGCTTTACAGTTCTCTCAAAGCTGTTTATGGAGTCAGCATATTGCCCCCAACAATTTGGGTCCTCATTTTACCCATCTTGGAAGGATGGAAGGCTGAGTCAACCTTGAGCCTGATGGGATTCGATCTGCCAAATTGCAGTAGGAGTAGCTTGCAGTAGTGCACTCTAACCACTGCTTACCAAGGCTCCTTAATTCCTCCAGTAATGGCTGGGGAATTCTGGGAGTTGAAGTCCACAACTCTTAAAGTGGTCACAGCTGAAAACTACTACTCTGAAAGATATTATCCCAATAGTCTCAACAGTCTCTGGGCACTTTTCACTGAAACTCAAGCTTTGGGATGCAAGAAAAACTGGACACAAGAGCATCTGTCTGCTAATGATTAATCATGTTGCCAGGGATTATATAGGCTCCATAGAAATCTAGATCAACCACTCTTTTGAAAAGGTGGTTTAAACCTTAAGAATAAGGGTCCTGGTTTTAGATGTCTACTTGGATGTAAGTCGTGGAACTGAGCTCAAGTCCAGCAAATGTTTTGTCCAGCAAATGATTTTTTTTGTTGGCAAAAAACACAAAATTGAATCGTTGAATTGAATGCAAATGAAGTGTTTTTGTTAATAATTTTAATATATAAGTATACAAGTTATGACAAATATTTGCAAAATGTACACAAATGTTCAAAAATACAAATAGCAATAGCATTAGCAGATTAAAACAACTGGAATAATTTATGTATGCTTGTTTTAATTCTTATTTGTATTAATCTATCTAAGGATCCATTTAAGATAATTAAATATGCATGTAGCACTTTACTAGTGAAGTAGTAATATAATGTTTTTCTATTTCTTTTCAAGCTCACCACACAGTTTGGACCTCCAGAAGCTGCAATTTCCACCATCTCTCACCATTAGCATCCTTAGTTGGAATGCAACAACTAGAGGTTGCCCATACTTTTGAGTTTGTGGTTTTTATAGGTTGGTGTGCTTCAATCTAAATAGAGTGACATCGAATCCTGTTTGCACTGATATTTTTTTAAAAAATTGTGTGGGTACGGCTGCATACTACCAAAACAACGTTTAAACGTTTCAAACAGACAAACAGCATAGTGTAATGGTGTTTTAATAATAGAATACAGTACCGCTGAGTTGAAAGGGTGGTATAATACACGGGAGGCTATCTGCATTAATTACAGTACCACGAAGCAAACCGGTAAGATGCGATTGCAAAAGGCTCTCACCAACCTGATCAAATAACAAAAGGAGGAGGAAGTGGCGGGTCGGGAGGTGCCGCCTCTCGATTTCTTGGCAGGCATGCGCTTCATGTGCGCATGCGCCCTTAGATGACAACAAAAGGACGGTGAGGGTTGGGAGCGGGAGGGTCGCTTCTTTCTCTTCTTCGTTACCTGATGGCTGCTGCGTTGTTGGTGACGCTGTACGAGTACTCCCCGCTGTTCTACATCGCCTTGGTGTTCGTCTGCTTCTTGGTAACCAGCGGCCTCATAATGGGCTGGTAAGTCGTGCGGAGGCAGTGGTTTGCGCCGGCGGTTTCTGGAATCGAACCGCGAAGATTGGATGAGAGTCTTGATGGCGGGGGGGGGGGGGAGTGTGGGGTATAGCACTAGCACTTATGGACCGCTTTACAGGGCTTTTACAGCCCTCTCTAAGCGGTTTACAGAGTCAGCATGTTGCCCCCAACAATCTGGATCCTCGTGCAAAAGTATGCAGAAAAGCGATAGTCCTCGAACCGGGTACCCTCCGCTTGCGATGGACAAGGAATTCCCACTGTCAGATTTTCCATAGGATGTGCGTTGGTAGGATGAAGTGTATTTTGAATAAATTTTAATACAAAAGTATATACTTATCTATAATAAATCCAGTGTGTCTGGGCTGGGAATGATTCCTGTGGGATTTAACGTAGCCTTCACTAAAGCTGTTGAAAGCATCACCACTCTTAAAGAAAAGCAGTGTTAGGAACCTTATGGGTTGGGTGAGAGTCCATTTAAATGGGGAGGAATTGAGCAAGATAATCAGGGAGATCTGAGAGGTTTAAAGTTTTGGTCACCACATAACAAAAAGATGTTGAGACTCTAGAAAAAGTACAGAGAAGAGCAACCAGGATGATTAGGGGACTGGAGACTAAGGCATATGAAGAACGGTTACAGGATCTGGGCCTGGCTAGTCTAGTAAAGAGAAGGACCAGGGGAGACATGATAGCGGTCTTCCAATATTTCAGAGGCTGCCACAGAGAGGAAGAGTTCAAGCTATTTTCTAAAGCACCTGTAGGCCAGACAAGGAATAATGGATGGAAACTGAACAAGGAGAGATTTAATCTGGAAATAAGGAGAAACTTTCTGACAGTGAGAACAGTCAATGGAACAGCTTGCCCTCTGAAGTTGTGGGAGCTTCATCACTTGAGACTTTCAAGAAGAGATTGGACTGCCATTTGTCAGAAATGATGTAGGGTCTCCGGCTTGGGCGGAGGGTTGGACTAGATGACCTATAAGGTCCCTTCCAACCCTGATCATCTGTTATCTGGATACCGTGGAATACAGCATGGAGCTTTGTAGAAACCATGTAGGGATGGGAAATGGTTTTGACAGGAGTAGTGCTTAGGCCAAGTTGAAAAATGGCTCTGCTTGTATATTTTTAATAGGAGGGGGAAAATAACAGTGGTTTCCCTGTAAAAAAAAAGTTCTAAGGAAAACTTAATTGATTGACAAGATGGTTTAAAGCAAATGCAATAGAATTTGGAGGGTATTTTCTTTGAAGAAGTTATTATTCCTTTAATAGTCAGCAGTGGGCATTAATACAAATATTTGTTTCCCTCATTATGCTTTTAAGTTGCACTGAAGACTGGGTTACACTCAGCCCTTTCAGGTCTCTAATTCTATGATTACAAACATTTTGTACTTCTTAGGTTTGGATGGGATGTTCCTGTGATTCTGAGGAATTCAGAAGAAACTGAATCAAGTGTGAAAGTGTCTCAGAAACAGATGCGGCAAGTGAAAAATCCATTCAGTTTAGAAATCAAAAACCCAGAAACTGCTTCAGCTTTAAGTCAGTATATTGTATATAATATTTGTTGACATTTTCTGTTTTCTCATCTCCATTTTTATTTGTATTTACCAGATGAAGTGGATCACTTCTGTTATTATCCCTCAAGCAATAAGCATGCAAAAGGAAATAGAAAAATTATTTTTAAGGAAAATTCTGCTCCTTATAAGTTTCAATTTGCACTATAAACTTAACTGAAATAAGAACTACTGTTTGTGGGGGAAAGAAAACACTTTTTATCTGTGGATAATGGTTCTGTCCTTGTGGACGTGGGAGCTGAAGCACTGTAAGCTCATTACAGAGAATCACCAGAAAGCATGCAGCTGCTTTATTGGTTAACTTTACATGACAAGAATTAGGTCATCATATTAATAGCACAATTTGGAACTGACAGTTTTAATCTGAATATATTTATAACCTTATATGGCCTCAAAAACATAATGGGTCAGTTTTGGAATGTTTTAGATTTTCACTGCATGAAGAAAATCTGTTGAGCATGGAAATTTGAAGGACAGACTAGGAGAATATTAGATTTATGATATAGTAGCATGGTAGGAAGATATTTTGCTTCCATTATTGAGTTTTGAGTAGCACAATTCTTTGTTATACATTTGTACCATTGTTTTCATTTTCCTCAAGATGGCATTACCCTGGTGTCTAATTGCCTGGAAGACTCTCTCCTTTCATGCTATTGGGGCTGCAGCGTGCAAAAGGTCCATGATGCTCTGCAGAAGCATGCCTACAGCATTCGAATAAAAACTCCCCAGTCTTTTGAGGATGCAATGTGTCATGAGTATCTCTATTGTCAACAGTATTGGTATCCTTTAGTGAAGCTTGTGTATTTTCAATTTTGCCCGAGTATACAGGGGCAATTTTTCTCTTGTAAATATAACATGTACTAGTAAGCAAGGGTTCATTATGGTTGCAAAGAAGAAGAAAGAAAAATAAGGGGAACAGCAATATCTCATGCCTTTTGACCAGTCATTAATATCTTTCTACCTGTTTTAATTATGCTTAAACTTCAAACATTGCATGCATTTAAAAGTTACAGTAATTTCATTTATTTTGTGGCAAAATTTCTGCATTTTTAAAAACGTTTATACTAATCCAGAGAAGTTTTGTAGGTCATACTGCCTTCTTACTGTAGTTATTAGCTTATTTCTGCCCTCACAGAGTGAAATCCAGTAGTTCTTGTAAGACTGGGCATGTTTTGAAAACAGTTTGGAAAAATTACGTTGGAATTCAGATGATCATAGTTTTGTTTTGCTTTGCTTTGTTTTCTGACTTGTATGCAAGCTTAAAAAATGACACAATTATCGTGATAACCCCATTAAATTACTTCAGCTCATTAAAATACAGGTATATATCCTCAATTACCACAATTGGGACAGGCAACTCCATTGCTAAGTGAGTCATGTGATTATTGCCTCATTTCCCTGCAGTCATTAAATTATCTGCAGTTGTTAAGTAAGATTTCATGTGACTGCAACTTGCAATTTTACTGCCAGCTTCTCAACTGATTCTGTCTGTAGGAAGCCAGCTTTGAAGTGTGTAAATAATGATCATATGATAGCAGGAATGCTGTGACAATCATAAGTGTGAAGACAATTACTTTTATAGTGCCACTGCAACTTTAAAAGTTCACAAAACAGGACAGTTGGTAAGCAAGGGCCATGTCTTTTTTAAGGCTGACATGGAAGTGTCTGCTTTTACAAATAACAGCAGTATTGTGCTTACTAGCTTCAACCATTCTTCTTCCAAATCATTTTCAAAGCTTGTTTAACTCCAATATATCTACCACTAGACAGACAAGTTGGTAGAATGAACTATATGTACTTCCTGGACAGGTAAATATTTCAGAATAATTTGAAAGATTAATTATGAAAGGGAAATCCTTTTATTTGAACTGAAAGTTAATTATGTAGTGCTGGGTGTTGTTTGTAGGAGCTAGTGATGCTTTTAAAACTGAAGACAACAATTTAAAGGTTCAATCCTAATTTCTGTGTCCTGAATAATTAACAGGTAATTTATTCTTTTGTCTCAGGTGAAAACTATTGAGATTTTAGAATAGTGGTTGTTATGTAGTTTGAATTTCCTTTGTAAATTTGATAGCATAATTAGCGTAATAGTTTTTTGTGACAATAAAGACTGTTCCTTGACACAACAAAGTATAAAGAAGACAGAAGAAGAGGAAAAGCATAGCCGGTTACCAGAAGAGGCAGACACCAATGATTTTGGTCTAGTGCCTAGATCTCAGTACCCATTAGTGGTACTGTTAACCCTTGCTGATGAAGACAACAGAGAAATCTATGACATTGTATGTAATTTCCACTTTTTTAAACAGGGAGGAATTTGTATTGTCCTATACATGTTTAAAAAAATTACCATTGAATAGAATTGACTAAGGTGTTTGAGCTTTTTTCATTTCTCTTAGAGAACTTTCAGTTTTAATATGAATTTCTTCATGTTTAAAACCGTAACTGCTGGTAACCCCTGAAATTGAAAGAAGTACAGTTATTGAAAATTATTCAGTTCTCAGCCTGTGATCCAGGAACTACTGATGGTATAGATGATTATTGATGTAGACAGTCGTAAGAATTTGAGTGAATTGAATGAAATTGTCATTTTATTTTTTAAAAATGACTTTATGGTCTATGCGCTCATCAGTTTTAATAGTAATGTAGTGCTCTATATAAAAGAGGAATTTGGGAGCTACTGGCTAGATTTCTGCAACTTGCTACTTCCCAAATGTATTGGAATTTCAATTCCCATAATTCCCCAACTAGTATGGCTAAAATAAAACTTTAGAAGTAATTCCAAACATAGTTCTTGAACTCATTATATCCATAGATCTATACATTACCTGTTTCAGATATGAAAATTACAAAAAAAACCCACTATTTTTACTGCTTATAAGCAAATGTTAATATTTTGGCAAGCTTTTAACTTGCATCGTCAACTAATGAAGCCAGACTAATTTTCTTAGGTGATATTAAACTATCATGTAACAGAAATCACTATCCGTGGGAGCAGAAGTTCACTAGAATATTGTTTGGAAACTAAATGTATTTTCATAATAAATAATTGAAATAAAGGTTACACAGTGATTGCCTTTTTGTTAAGGTATAGTCAATCTGAATTCAAAATAACTTCAAACTATTTCACAGCTATGGAAGCATGTATATAATAACAGTAATTATCATGACCACGTAAATCAGTTAAATTACAGACCATTAATAGGCAAGTATCATAGTCAAAGTAGGTGTTTGATTCACAGCTCTGAAATGATTGGAAAGAGAATAAACATAGTAATAATTTTGTGTGTATAGCACAGGCTTCAAAATGTATGTGTGGGTTTGAAGGTGACTCAAGATTAGCAGGTGCATTTTTAATATGTAAAGTCTATTATACTAAGCAAACGGTTGGAGACTCAATTTAAAATGAGTTAACAATTGATATCATATGTTAATATTTTTAGTTATGCTGTGATCTGGTTGGGATTTGCTTGAACTGAAAAGTTCAGTGTGCTGAAATAAATGTTTCTGTCTTTGTTAAAGATTTCAATGGTATCGATAATACATATTCCAGATGCCAGTTACAGGCTTTCCTGCCGGATACTGTATCAATATCTCCTTTTGGCCCAAGGTCAATTTCATGATCTAAAGGTAAGCTTTCAGATTCATTTTCTAGATCAGGGTTTGTTGTTGTTGTTTTGGCAAAGGTTGCTCTCTTCAAAAAGACAAAAAAAAAGTTGAAATCTCGGAATTAAGAAGCAAAATTAGACAAGGGTTCTTACAGATAAATAGACCCTTCATAAGCCCCCATTGGAATCACAGTATTGCAAAGCAAAAAAAAAAAAAAAAAAAGAGCTTTCCAGGGATTTTGAACAAATGGTCATAAAACCAGAAAAAGGACTGTGTTCTTTAAACCAGCCAGTCTTCTTGTTTGATTACACACATCTAGAGCTGATTTTTAATTGGTGCAGAAGTCTTGTGTAGCGATGCGTTAAGTAAGAGCAAAGCTTTTTTATACATCAGCAAATTTATAATCTTTCGTAATTGAAAGCTATAATTGTCTAGATTCCCTGGAGTAAGTTTTTCCAGTCTGCCTCTCTAAATTTCCCCTGTGCCTTCTTCATTAGGTTTGTTGACAAACATTCTGGCTCATTTCATACATTAGGTTACATTAAACTATGGCTTACATCGTTATTGTTGAAATCCCCGATCAAAATAAGCCAAAACCAAATATGCTGTATTACAGTTTTGCTCTTACCCCTATTCCTGCGCTCTAAAAATTAATCATTTTTATATTATCACAATCTTGTAGATCTCAGTCAGTGCACTTGATAGTAAAAATTTATCTGTTTTTTCCCCTCTAGGCTCCTCTTTCAATGGAATTAGAAAGTAAAGTTAAGCCATGGTTAGGGAAGTGTCTCTTTTGATTTTCTTTACGCATTTATCTGAATACCAGGAATCAATGCACTTTTTCTCATGTTTCTTGAGAACATAGTGAAAAAGCATACCATTGCTTCTTTTCCACTAACTTTCACTACTTTCCAATTCCTAGTTTTCCAGTTACACAACATGCCAATACAATATGAGAAGTGTCTTTTTCGTTGCATTACTTTTCATTTTCCTCTCCCTTCTCTGAGGCTCATGAAACTGCCATTGTATTTTCTCCCTAAATTCTGTTTACATAAGAGATCTTGGCTGGGCCAGAGGGAACCTCAGGTATCCAGACTTTGGCTCAAAATTAAAATCATACATATTTTGTTCCTAAATTAGTAGTATTCCTCAACATCAGCAAGTTTCAACTCTGGAACTTCCACGCATCTAAAACTTGCTTAACACTATCCTAAAGTGACATATGGATACCCAGTGCTTGCCAAGTTTCCAGCATAACCCGAATGTTTAGATTTTGAGAAGAAACAAATGTCAAAATAATGTTATTTGTAAGAAATGACTCTATGTCTGAAATAGACCCCATTTGGTTTATTAGAAAAAAAAAATAAGTCTTGCGTTTTGTATAGAAATGTATCCTTTTCCCAGAAAGAGGACAAAGATAACTGAGTATCAGGGAATATTCTGTTAAACTGCCCTTGTTTACTTGCCAATGCATTTAATTTAACAATTGGCAAGGCTTCCCCTAGGAGCCATTTTGCAGGAGTGACCACAAAAGTGTTCTAAAATTCAGCATGTATCTGACAGTCCATAAAGTTGAGGATTATTAACATGCCCTAACCTAAGGGTTTAGAGGGAGTTGATATTTTTAAATGTTGGTTTCTTTCTTCTAATTTTTCCCATCTTCCCTCCATCAGCAATTGTTCATGTCTGCCAGCAACAATGCATCCTCTCTAAGTGACTCTTTCTCCAATGAAAGGACTGAAGACCACGTCCTGCTTGAAAAGGCTGGCCTGGTGGAGACTGAGTCAGAAGTGCTGGAAGAGAGCAGCAAGGACTGCATCGTCTGCCAAAACCGAGCTGTCAATTGGGTGCTTCTTCCTTGCCGACACACCTGCCTATGCGATGAATGCGTGAAGTATTTCCAACAATGCCCTATGTGCCGGCAGTTTGTGAGAGAATCATTTCCATTATGCAGCTAGAGAAAGTGACCCTTGCAAAAGAGGATCCTGTGTATTATACTTATTCAGGAACTCTGTGGCAAAGAATTGATAAACCTTTCAGCTGTTGGTTTTGCAACAGCATCTTTGACCTCACATTTCCTTCTACTTGAATGATGTTTGGTGCCTGGAAAAACTCGGAAGCAGCATTTTTATTTTCCTTAACCAGGCACTTGGAAGCATCACTGTGAAGGCCAATGACATAGGAGCCTCAATTTAATCTTCAGGAATGGGACAAAGGGGGAAGAACTTTAGGCAACAGAAGCAATGCACTGAACAATGAAGGACATAATTACGGGGGGGGGGGGGCGGACGGACGGACGGACGACTTTTTAAGTATTTCCAGAACATATTATTTCTAGTTATATTCCAACAAACACAGAGCATATGGAGAACAAATATCCTCATATGTAAGAGGCATTGGCAATGTTTATTTATTTATAAAGGTATTAGAGTAAATATCACATAGCTTGGCTTTCAGCCATTAGCAATGTTGCACTTTTTAAGTTATAGTAGGGAGTAGGGAAAGGAAATGCCTAACAATTCTCTACATAGGTTTAAATGTCTTTTGGTTTCATGATCTTGAAATGACGCAGGCTGGAAGTTCAAGAGTCCTGACATATCTGAAATTGCCAAGTTGGGAGTGGCTGGTATATTCAGTTTTCTTGGGCTTGCTGGATCTAAGTGTTTACCTTCATTTGCAGATGCATGTATGGCATTGGGTGTGAATTGTCACTCCCAGCAAAAGGATGTCTACAAGATGCATATTCAAGCAAATATTCATTGAACCGCAAATCAGTTTCCACTTGTCTTGCTCTTGGACGCTAAAAATTCATTTGCCTCAGGCAATTTTAGACATGACATGACATTGGTGATGTCATGAAAAGCTGATATGGTCCAAACTCAGTGTGAAGTAAATGAGTCTGTTGACAATGGAGAGTTCATTTGAAGACTCTTATGCCTTCAAGTGGAAGTATTTTGTGTAGATCTTGCCTCCTGTCCAAGATGTCACTTGTTGTCAGCATTTGGACATCTCACTCTTTGACTTATCCAAATTCCAAACACAATTTTAGCCTCTGTAGCAATTGTATGGTTTAGTTGAAATAAGATGATGTCTGCATTCATGCATACATCATGCATAGCCATAATTGTTTGTTTTTGGTTGAGAATCTAGCCAATTCTGGTTTATTAAAACAAAACATGGGTTACAATATTTTGCTTTAATGTGTGAATCTAAACAATGACTTACGATTCCTACCTCACCCTTTAGGCTCATGTTAGTAACATGGAACACTAAGCCCTGTTGAATGAGATAAGCTAGGCAGCCAATACTTTTTACAAATAAATAAACATACAACCACTAGCTTCTCTATGTTCAGAGTATCAAGAGTGAATATGGAAAAAAAGTTTACTTTCCACCTGTTTTCTTTTTCATCTATAAAACCTACATAATCCAGCCATTGTGGATTCACACAGCTTGGTGTGATGTGCCAAACTATCAAGTTGTTGCTTATTCAATAAGCAGTAGCTTAATGTAATGGTTAGTAATCAGTGGTAGCAATCACTTCAGGGGCCAGATGTTATCACCATCTTAAATTATGGCACAGCCCACCCACACCCACCCCGTACATTATGCTTGAATACAGACATGGAATCATATAAGATTCTTGTTATCTCATTCAGAAGAATTTGTGAGTTTATTGGATTCTCACCTAACATTTCAAAATATATCGATTTTTAAAAAAACGTTGGGATACCTCTGCTGATCTGTAGCTGAGCACAATGGGATTACCTCTCTTTCAATTCATTCCAACGTCTCAGTGAGCAAATACATATTTGTTACTAATTTTTTAACATATCTCTAAGAAACATAAAGTAGAATGAAGAAAGGTAAAGAAAGGGGATGAGGGAGGAAAGAAAAGATGAAGATGCCAGTTCTTTAGCATGTGCACCAAATCTGAAATAAACACAAGTAAACCAGACTTTCTAAAAGTATAACCTAGTTCTTTTCATATGCAGAGTACATTGTTCTCTTTAGTATGTATAATGATAGGCCTTGTACATACAGAATTAAAAGGATAACTTCAATCACAAAGCCAATAACTGACCAGACGTATCTGGACATGGATAATAGTATAGCTACTGCACAACTATTGAGTGGCGTACAGTAGTTTGCTATCAAGCATAAGGAACCCGTTTTGCTTTTCAACTAGAAATCCTGGAACTCAGTGTAATCTCACACAGGAAGAGACTCCCATTTCTGGAATAGAGAACCTTGAAGTATAGTTGTAAAAAAAGAAAACCTTTCATGATTATTTCAGAACCTAGGGGTGTCAAACCCGTATCGTCATGGTATCGTCACATAATGTATCATGACTTTTTCCCCCTTTGCTAAACCGGGCGTGGGCATAGCCAGCGCGTGACACATCTGGCCCCTAGGCCACGAATTTGATAGCCCTGTCATAGAGAAATTTATCAACAGATGCCAATATTCCTTGTGCCTGCCAGCCACACAGACAATATTGAATTGGATGGACCAATAATTGGAAGTGGTAGAAAGCAGCTTCTAATCTTAGTAATCTTAATTAAGTTGCTTGTCAGTGTGGACACTTTTGAGGGAAGGGATTAGCCCCAGATAATATTCCAGATAGGTAGATCTGAGAGAGATGTTAGTGGAAGAATGCAAAGAAAGGACCTAATGCATACAATATCAGTCCTATCATGGTGGAAGTAGCCCTTTAATCTTCATAGTCCTATTCTTCATTTAATTAATATGATAAGCTGAGGGAGAAACACTTAGGATAGCAAAAATTCATTGCCTCTTGCCAATGTTTTACCTAACATGTCAGACATTCTGAATTCATACAAGTTATTTAATGAAATGTCTTCTGATCTGAGTCATAAATCATATGATCTTTAAAATATTGCTGTATGGCTATATAAATATAAATTTAAAATTCAATATCTGGATTCACATAACATGCTAAGCCAAAGAAACTACACCAGGTTAATATTTTCCAATCTACAAAACATAACTGTTGTGTCACTTTAATTCTAAAATAAGTATGATCTTAGCTCTCTTTTATCATTATAGGCCACAGGTGGCCCAGGATTCCATTTGTGATTTGAGAAACACTCCAAGACCATACCTATCATTTTCAGTGACCAAACTAAATTTCCTTATACTCTGTTGCAGGGGTTTCTGAGGAAGGGACTGAGACTTCTAAAGTAAATGTTGCCATCTCTCACTTAAAAAGGCCTCATAAAAAAAAAAGAATGAAAATTAGGAACACTGCCACCTCTTTGAACGGCTAGCAAGTTGGAAAGCTAAGCTGCTTGTGAGTTAGAAAAACTTGTTCACCTCTGATTTTCCTCAGGAATTTCCACTCCCCCACCATCACTGCAACAACAAAGCTATTAAGTAAGTTGGACTAAGAGCAGTTGGTCCCTATTCACCCAGTAAGTTTCCATGGCTGAGGCTGGAATGGCACCTGGGTCTCCTTAGCCCATTACACCAGGATTCTTGTTATTGTCCATGGCAAAATATAAAATACCATATGCATATACATGCTTCCTTGACAAATAAGGATGAACACACATGTCCTAGGATAATTTTGCAGAATCCAATCTGGATCGGTTACTGGGACCAGAGATTTTGTCTTCTGAGATTTCGGACTCCTACTGGAGCCCATCTTCGGGGAACTCCTCTGTGTGAAGATGAGGATGGGCTCCAGCATGAGTCCGAAAGCTTGGAAGACAAAACCTCTGGTCCCAGTGATCAACCCAGATTGGATCCTGCAATACTTCCTTGAGCCAAGATATCAATGTTCACTCTCTGATATACTCCAGAAGTAGCAAAGGGCAAATAAGTTTGAAAAACAAAATTAACTGATGGTAAAGGACAGATTATTTGCAGATTGTTAATTGTATCTACTGGCCTTGTTTATGGGCAGAAGTTCCATTCATTTCATCTCCAGGGTCTATAGCTGATCAATCCATGCAAACAATTTTCCCCTGTCAGTGATGCCATCAGCTGATTTCTCATCCCTCACCTCCATCATCTGTTGTTTTGTCAGCCTCTCAGGGCTGTCAGAGTCTTGATTAAGAAAATCTGAGACTCCTTGAAATGTGATACCAGAGGCAGAGTTGTAACTCCTAACAGATGGCTTCTGTTCTGTTGGCACGATGTATTTCATGTTTGCTTAATTAGTCGCATGTCATATTGAAAGCTGAAACGTGTTTTCATGCCAGGCACAAGCACAGAAGAGAAAGACTGGCCTCAGCCTTTATGTATAGCCGCCTTCAGCTGGATGCCCTCCAGATATATTTGGTAGAATCAAAGCAGCGGAATGAACTTTAGAGGTTATCTCATCCAATGTCCTATTCAGTGCAGGATCCACTAGAAAATCCTCAACAGATGACCATCCAGCCTAGGAAGATCTCCTTGTATTGTATAGATCTCCTGTGAAGAAGAATCTATCACATCTAACAAGTTTTTCCACTCACTGGCTGACAAATTGTATATGGAACATATATTAGAATCCCAAAACTTTTGGAAGATGCTTAATTGACGATGTCTGGGTTCAGAAACCATATTAAGCTATGACTTTTAACTGTGACTTTTTAAAAAAAATGGTTCATGCATAATTCTCAGCCGTAAATCATGGTTTACAGCTATAATGGTCAAGTTCAAGCATTATCACACCAAGCCAAAACAAAGTACAGCAATTTCAGACTTAGGGTAATCTATCAACCCCAACCATATAGCTATGATGTGCCAAGCAAGAGGCAATCTTATCTGGAAAAGTATTGCTCCATACTCTTTACAGTATTTATTTTGATTGGACCAGAAAGGGTGGGGGGCAGGGAGGCCAAACTTCTTTAGACAAAAACCCCATCAGTTCTTCCCACTTAGTGAACTAGAGCTCTCAAAATTCCTTAATTCTGCAGCCAAAGAGTGCCTCATCCAATGTTAGAGCACATATTTTATAGGCATAAAGTTATTTCTAGCGTTTCAATTTTAAAAATGCATTTGGCTGATTGTGGAATTTATACCCATGGCATGCCAGTCTGTAACATTTTACAATAACTGAATATTGAATAGCAGCATTGAATAAAGCAAATCAGTAATGCATACACAACCCCCCCTCCGCAAAGTCCTCAAGCTGTAGAGGTAAAATGCAAAAAAAAAAAAAAACCTGGATGGGAATGCTTATTTATAAAAATAGATCTTTGATTTCTCTTAAGATCAGCATGTAAAGGCAAAGGCCACTTCTCGGTTGCAGCGAGGTCCTGGCCTACT